TTCGATTCAACGGAGCTATAAAATCTTGTTGGGGATATTGTTCAATTTATAAATAATGCTACTCGATTCAACAGAGCTATAAAATCTTGTTGGAAATATTTGTTTAAAATACACATTGTTAACGTAGCACAGGAGAATAAAAGTCTGAACCTGAATTGCATCTAAACTTGGGGAACAAGTTGTGTTTATGAAGGTTTCGCTAGCAAATGGCTTCTTTTTTGTTGTTCTTTTTAGTTATCAAGTTTTGTTGTTAAGTTAGGAGTCGTGTCTCGTTCCTCGTTATACTCGCCCTTGCTCTCGAACCTGCATCTGTCCATAGTTACTTAGTGTATATGAGTGTTGTTTTCCATTAAAAGGTAAAAAAAAAAAACATAGTTGATAAATGAGTAGGGGGGATTAACTCTCGCCCACGCTAGTCAACGCCATTATGGGGAGGTGGCACTGTTTAAAGATAACGGTATATCACCGGCAAAGGAAGGCGCTGATGATTTAACACACTCCAGAGAATGGCAACGCCGATTATGGCAGTCCAGAAAGAGAGGTGTTAACGGACTTGAGATAATACAATGTCAATTTGTTGGGGTTCTGCACTCTGGTCACTTAATTTACTGTTATCTTGTAAGAATGGGAGTGGCACTTACGTCAGTTGCTTACGTCAGCAACAACAACATCCAAGTGGTGGTCGACGGTGTGTTCTTTCAAGGCGGATTAACTTTCTCGGTAGTATTTCTACGACCTCCCCCCCCCCCCCCACCATTCAACCCACCTTCCCATATAATTTTTTATAAGCTTGACGAATTATTAATAAAAACTAAATAAGGCCTGATATCCTAATAAAATTATTATGTTGTCTTTCAGAATCTGTAGTGCATGCTAGAGGGATTTTCACATATTTATAGTAAAATTAGAAGGAAGAAAAAACGGCCTTCACAATTATCTGGAGTGTGAAGGTCGTTTTTTTTTCTAACTAATAAAAATATATTACTTAGGTATTCTGATTTTTTTTTATTTGGCGTGAAGGTTGAAATTTGCGGTAGCTATCTCATTAATCTATTGATTTTGTCTTCAGTTATGTATCTCTTTTTGGGGGGACAGTGGACAACTGCAAATGGACTATGTAGCTTCGTCCGTAAAGTATGTCTTGAGAGCACATGATGTGCAGCCTTCGTGTGTTAAGATGGACTTTTGTAGACCAAAACCCGTATTTCTTTCTCACTCATTTGAAGTTTTAGAAACATACAAAAAAAAAATAATTAAAGACAAGGTGTACAAATAAAAAAAAATCATATTCCGATGCATAAAACACTATAAACTCCAGTTTTAAAATGAACGTATGGTTTAAAACACCCTATTAGTGAACCTTGAGTTTATCTTTATGATGTTAGAGTGGTAGATGCATTTTCGGTTCGGCGTTTGAAGTTTTACGTCATTTGAATTTGTGTTCACGTCACTAAGAGAAAACAATACTTATTATTTGGTTCTGATATAAATACAATATGAAACTACAGGCAAAAGATCTATATCAACACGAAATGTTTACGAAACTATAAATTACATCTCATATGTAATTCTGTTTGTTTGTTTATAATTAAGCACAAAGCTACACAATGGGCTATCTGTGCTCTGCCCACCACGGGTATCGAAACTCGGATTTTAGCGTTGTAAGTCCGCAGACATTCCGCTGTGCCACTGGAGGCCTGTAATTCTGATAAATTACCGTTTTGGAAAAACCTGGGAGTGATTACTTTAACCCTTAGATATCAAATCTGTCTCGAAGTCAGACTTTTTTCCTATTGTGTTTAGTACCCCTCAACCCTTTGCTCTGGCAATCAGTGGGTCGCGGGTTCGAATCCCGTCCTTTCAGTCGTGTGTGTGTGGGGGGGGGATATATTATAATGTGACTGTAAATCTAACTATTCATTGGTAAAGAGTAGCCCAAGAGTTAGCGGTGGGTGGTGTTGACTAGCTGCCTTCCCTCTAGTCTATCACTTCTAAATTAGGGACGGCTAGCGCAGATAGCCCCCGAGTAGCTTTGTGCGAAATTCAACAATCGATTAAACAAACACACTTCAAACCAAAACTGATAAAATTTACAGGCTTAATTGCATGAGATATGTGAATAAAAATGGAATGATTTATGAACTCAGTTGCTTCATTTTGAGTCAAGCTTTTATGTATTACCACAATAAGTTTATTCTTGAAGTATCTCTAATCAAAATGTACTAGTAAATTATTATCTAATGTCGTTTATTGATAATCATCATATTCAATCACGAAATCATTTCAAAAGTTCGAAATTTTCCCGCCGTTGTCTCTTTGTTCACTCTACTTAAGAAAAAGTAAGTTGTTGCATGTTTTATAAACGTTATTTTTCTCCTGAGTTTAATAACTTTATTTTAATATCGTTAACAAATCTCGTCCCCACAGTTCTAAGTCTACGTAACACACAAGAAGACGAGCCACCTGATCCACAACTGATGAGGCTAGACAACATGTTAATAGCAGAAGGAATTGCCGGTCCTGAGAAAGGTGGGGGTGCTGGTGCAGCGACTAATGCTTCTGCAGCGGCCTCTGGTGGACCAGGTCAACTTGAACAAACAATAGAACATTCAGATTACAGAGCGAAATTATCACAGATTAGACAGATTTATCACCAAGAGCTTGAAAAATACGAACAGGTAAACAGTGCTGTGAATTATTTTTCTTTTATAACGTGAAAAAATGGACTGATTCATAACTGTCTTAAGTTGTTTGGTATTGACTGTAACGTCTTTAACTTGTCAGTTACCATACGTTATTTACTGATTAATTGTTGTAATATTGACATAGGCGTGTTGCAGAACCATACGTATATTTACTGATTAATTGTTGTAATATTGATATACACGTGTTACAGAACCATACGTTATTTACTGATTATTTGTTGTAGAACCATACGAATATTTACTGATTAATTGTTGTAATATTGATATAGATTTGTTGTAGAACCATACGAATATTTACTGATTAATTGTTGTAATATTGACATATAAGGGTTGCAAAACTATATGTATATTTACTGATTAATTGTTGTAATATTGACATATAAGGGTTGCAAAACTATATGTATATTTACTGATTAATTGTTGTAATATTGACATAGACGTGTTGCAAAACTATATGTATATTTACTGATTAATTGTTGTAATATTGATATAGACGTGTTGCAGAACCATACGAATATTTACTGTGACTTACGTATAGTTGTGACTTGATGTTCGTTTTTTAAATTTTTCAATAAACTGAACCCAAAAAGGAGCACCGAGTATTATAAATGTAGACCTGTATTTAAAATCAATAGTCTTGTCAATTTTGTATTTGTCGAGTTTTTAAACATTAGATAAGGAATCTCTATTTTCTTAAGAGGCAATGTTATATTGATGAAGAATTGGGAATATCATAAGGATAAATGCCTTCTAGAGGTCCAGCGGTATGTGTGCGTAATTACAACACTAAAAAACAGGTTTCAATACTCGTGGTGGGCACAGCACAGATAGCCCATTTTGTAGCCTTTGTCTTAACTACAAACAAACATAAGAAAATAATAATAAACTTTCCCTTGTGTATTTCAAGATTATTTTTAGATTCGAATAGGTAAAAAAACTTCAAACTTTGAATTTGTTTTGATCTCCTTTATTTATCTGTTTAAAAAATAATGAAGTGTTGTGTAACTTTTTCATTGTCTTTCTGTTTAATAGGAATTAACTTCTTGTGTTCGTAGACAAAACCAACATTATGTTTGGGTCTAATTTTGAGAGTGTAAAAAACAAGAAACTTATTAAGCTCCTTTTTTTTTCTAATTCACTTCCCTTGTGTAGTTTTAATAGATATAAACTCGTGTGTTACTTTTTTGTTTTCGCATTTAACTGAACGTGACATTTCCCGCTTTCTGGCAAAAAAATGCATTGTTACTTCATTACATTCTGTGCTTGATTACACGAAAAAAAAAAGAATATTTAATTCCGTTTGTGAACGGTTATACATTTTAAATGTTGTGAATCGTGACCTTTTTTTTTATCAAAGAAAAATATTAATATTCCAAAATACTTCCAACGGACCCCTATTTCAAGTAAAAGAGGAAAGATGATTTAGAACGAAAGCAATTAACTTGTTTAAAAAATCAAGCACCAATTTGACTCCAGAAGAAAGTAATTTTCGTACAAACCTTTTTAGGACGACTTAATGTGCTTTTTCGAAACAACAACAACAACAACAAAAAAGATATATTGCTGGTATATTTATCTTTCAAAGTCTGTAAAATAATATTCTTCAATTTTTTTCCCCTCTTTTTCTCTTCCCTCTCACCCTCTGAAGTAAGAATTCAACTTCTTCCCATCCTAATGATGTAAACGGCTCTCACGTATACTCAAAGCTGCATAAATTGTCATGAACAAAAGATAGCTTCATATTTCGTTTTTAATAAAAACCACAGAGGTGCGCAGTATATCAAGGCTTGTCTGTTAACGTGGATGATTTATTATATGTTTGTTACTCGTCAACAAATTTTATAAAGAAAATAAGTTTAAAAGTACAAACACGGTTAAAGATATTTAAAGAAGAGAGAGTCCTCAATACCCACTGCACGTGAAATTCTTTTAGGCAGGATTAGAGTAAATTATTTATTTTTCCTATTTTTATTAGCTATATTTTTGTGCGGCAGCAATACCAAGCGTGGGGCGCGATTCGATTTTATTATTCATCAGAATCTCTACCAGCCTACCGTCAAATTGAAATTATTGTAAAGTAAATTAATGTATGAGACCTTGGGTGTGGTCAAACAAATCAGTCGAAAGGGTTTGACCTCCTGAGTCCAAAACTGTAATTAGATCTCAAATCGGCCAAGAGATGACGAAGCTCTGAACTAAAAGTTTGTACTTGAAAAAAAGCAAACCTCTATGAGCCACTATGCCGCGGCTAAAATATTATATGATTGTGAAGATTAAGACTGAGCTAAGAAATGAATTGAGTAATAATATTTTTAAATAATACATTTCTTTTGTCACATTGTTGGGATGTATGTAATTAGGGATAGCTGTATAATAATAATAATAATACAAGTTTCATACGTAAATATTAGATCCAGAAGTATTGTATTCAACCACAAAAGACAAAGCTTTCTTTATTAGGTATGTATATGTGGATAATTATTATAATTGGATGCTATCTTTGCACGGTTTGTGGTTTGGTTTGAATTTCGCACAAAGCTACACGAGGGCTATCTGCACTAGCCGTCCCTAATTTAGCAGTGTAAGACTAGAGGGAAGGCAGCTAGTCATCACCACCCACCGCCAACTCTTGGGCTACTCTTTTACCAACGCATAGTGGGATTGATCGTCACATTATAACGCCCCCACAGCCGAAAGGGCGAGCATGTTTGGTGGGACGGGGATTCGAACCCGCGACCCTCAGATTGCGAGTCGAGCGCCCTAACTACCTGGCCATGCCGGGGCATCTTTGCACGGACTCGCCATGTTCAATTCAGAAAATAGAGAAATGCCTGTCTCGTGACTACAGTAGCACGTGGAGTAAGTTAACCTACCGTCCTTGTTAACTAGAGGATTCTTTATCTCTTCGTTTTTATTGTTATTTATTTTATAATCATTTGGGTCGACATAAAAATCCCTCGTTGATTTTCCTCTTACCTAAAAACATATTGTATATTTATTATCGTACATTGCTAATACTTTAAAAAGTCCTTATGCCTATTGATACGGCTTTCTGTCAGTGTTGTACACGATTGAGAAGAAAAGCCATATTTATAATGTATGCCTACCTCCATCACAGTAGCAGCGCCTCCCCTCTCCTCCCCCAGTCACCCGATTTTTTCGGCGACTGTCCTCCTAGTACCACCACTGGTCCGTGTAACCTCCACCGTAAAAGAAAGGCCTGTTATTAAGTGGCTGAAAACGTAGTGGTGTTAATGTTAAAGGGCTGTTGTTGTTTTTTTTTTGTTGTTGTTGGAAGAGTAACAATTTGCGAGGAGATGAGGAGGTTTGTTTTGGCAGGAAAATTACCCAGTTTCTCACGGATATAATTACAAAACGATCTTCCATCACACTTAGTCTTCGGATTATTTCCTGACGCTAGGGTTAGTGATAACCTCCGAGATCTTTGTACTGAAGTGGATTGAACCAATGTATAAGTGAAAGGAATAATAGCACAAGAAGAAGAAGAACAAGAAAGAAACATTAAAGCACGCTTTCGATACCCCGTGATGGTCAGAACACAGATATGTTTGTTTGTTTGTTATGAATTTCGCGCGAAGCTACACGAGGGCTATCTGCGCTAGCCGTCCCTAATTTAGCAG